AATTGATATTAAATATTACTACTGTCAATTAATACTAAATACTGGTACATTAATAAATAATTATTTAATTAGTTACTTTGGTAGTTTTAATTACCAATAAGGAAAACAACTTAATACTTACTTAGAGGTAGCTAGACCCAACACTTAACCTTCCTGTCCACCCTGTACTAACTAGGTTTTTGGCCAAGTTCTCTGACTTCTCTAACTTTCTGATTCTTCATATTTAAAACTGAAACAAACTAGTTGTAAGAATGTGTGAGATAATATATGTAAATAAATAAAAGGTAATATCTATAAAGGACCTACTAGCTATAATATTTATAATACACAACTTTAAAATAATTCTTTAAAATACAAACTGCATTTTATTCTCTGTCCACTCCATCCCCATCATAGGCATAGTCTAATTTTATTTGCTCCATTGCATTTTCTAAAATTAATCTGTGCACTTAGAAGGTACTAGCATTCCATGACAAATCTGTTAACATGTATAACTCCAACATAAATTCCAAAAGCAGAGCTCTGCGGCTCTCACCTGATTGGCCAACAGGTAAGAACAGGTAAGGCAGGGACACTTCCAACTGCCACGGGAGCTGGGTCAGATCTGAGGCCATCAATTATTTTATAAACATTTACTGATAAAAACTAAGAGCAAGAGATAGGACTGAGGAAAAGAAATAGCTCACTTTCCTATCTTACTTAAAAGGTAATAAGCCCTGACTGGTGTGGCTCAGTGGGTTGGACGTCATCTTGCAAACTGAAAAGTCACGGGTTCGATGCTCGGTCAGGGCACATGCCCAGGTTGAGGGCCAGGTTCCTAGTTGGGGGCCTGTGAGAGGCAACCAATAGATGTTTCTCTCCTTCTCTTTCTCCCTCCTCCTTTTCCCTCTCTATAAAAACAAAGAAATAAAATCTTTTTAAAAGGGTAGTAAAAATATTTCTTGCTCTCAATGATGTCATCATCCACAAGGAAGACCGATACACATATAATAAAATATAAAAATGCTGTCTGATGAGTGCTATAATAGAGGCATCCAAACTACTAAGGGAACACAAAGGGGACTAACTGCCTTCAGAGGGAAAGAAAGGCTTCAAAGGGCAGATGATATCTGAGTTGCATAACGAATGAAAAATAGGAGTTGTCAGGTGGAGAGGAAGGTGGCCTTCTAGGCGGAAGAAAATTCTGTACAGAAGACTTGGTATTTCTGTGATAAAGTTTCTCCCTCTTGCAGAGGAAGGAGTGGTGGTGCTGCTGGTACCTAGAACAGCACCAGGTGAGCTAAGGGAGGAGAGGCATATCTAAGGAACATACATTGTCCTGAAACAATGATGACATTCAGGATTATGTGTGTGTACCAATCCAGTCTGCACTGAGCAACATTAATTATTCATTAACTGACACAAGAAGAGGGAAGCTGCAGGCCAAAGACGTTTTCAGGTACTACTACTGCTTTCATAACCCAGTAATTCAATTTAATGGGTGTCATCTTGAATTTTTGCTTAAAATGAATTCGAATGGAATAGAAAATATCAGAGATCATCTGACCTTGAAAGGATAAGTTTTACAAAACTATTGTATGAGATACATGTGTGCGTTCTGGGTCACAATGTAAAATGCATTTGTTACTAAGGATCATGGTTAAAAAATAAAAACCTTTGAGTTGGTGACTGGTGAAGGGAGTGAGGGAAAAGTCACGGACTCCCAGGTTTCCGGTGTGAGCGCGTGAACAGATGGTAACACCACTGACCAAGACAGGGCACAGAGGAGGGGGCCTGCTTTTATCAAGTCCTTGCAGGGATGCTGGACAGCCCAGATGGCAACCTCTCCCAGCACTTCTTCGGCAGCTACAGTCAATACTAATATTGTTCGGCAAAGACAAAGAACACACGGCCACTGCAGCTGCAAGTTCACATTAACACACAACTGATAAGGGCCCTCTGGAGAGGTCCCAGTCCTAAATCCCAACACGCAGAAAAACCTGAGCTCCAGAGAGAGCAGACAGGATAAGGGAAAGATCAACACCTCCAGGGAACGATCAGGATGTGAGAAATCCTGCCCCTGTTCTAAGAGTCACTCTTGGGAACCCAAGCAAGCATTCTGGAAAGTCCACTGTCCGGGTATTCTGTTTCCTAGGTGGTTTGGGGGGTTTGGAGGGACTGGGAATTCTTGCTACTCTAACGACTGCTTTCTAAGCCTTACCGCCTCCCCCCCCACTCGCGCCTCCAGGAGGCATTTCCGTCCCTCCACACCTCTAGCAAGACCCCTGAGTTCAGTAATATCGAGTTGGGCTGTCCCTTAGTCTCCCACCTCAGAGCTTCAGGCCAACGGAAGAGGGTGGGAAGGACAAAGCTTCTCCACAGACTCGGGGTGGATCCATTACTCTCCCTAACACCCCTCTCCCTTAGAAGACAAGAGTTCCCCATGTCTTCTTGGGGATCACAGCACAGCTGGGTCCCAAAGGACCTTCCTGGTGACCCTTCGCCATCCACTCCTCCACAAATCTGCCCAGACACTTCAGACGACTGGCTGCCCTTTAAATATTCATGTTCTTTTTTTTTTTCACACACACACCATTCTTTTATTGTGGTAAAATACATAAAACATACATTTTACCATTTTAGCCACTTTAAGTGTACAATTTAGTGGCACCAATTACATTCACTATGTTATGCAACCATCACCATGATCTATTTTTAAAACTGATCATCATGCCAAACAATCCCTTAACTATTAAGCAATAACTCCCCATTCCTGTCCACTCTCAGTCCCTGATAACCGCCAATCCACTTTTTCTATGAGTTTGACAACTTTAGGTACTTCATATAAGTGAAATGATACGGTATTTGTCATTTTGCAACTAGCTTATTTCACCTTCTACGTGCCTGCCTATGATCTGTTTTCTCCTGATATTCCCTCTTCTCTGACAGTCTCCTCACCCTTCACGGTACATCTCAAATGTGACCTCCACCACACACTCTGTACTCATTTTCAGAGGGGAAGGGAAGAAGAGAGGGAGAGAAACATCAATGTGTAGTCGCCTCTCACACCCCCTGCGGGGGACCTGGCCCTCAACCCAGGCATGTGCCTTGACGGGGAATCGAACCAGCAACCCCTTATTTCACAGGCCTGCACTCAATCCACTGAGCCACGCCAGCCAGGGCGCATCTGTTTTCCACTAGACTAAATGTCTTGAAGGTGCAAACCATGTCAAATCCTTCTCTCCAATGCCCCACAATCCTTAACACATAGTAGGTTCTCGATCTGAGTTTACTGATTCAAACTGAAAAGCTAGTGATCCGCTCCACCAAAGCCTGTAGATCATAAGAACCACGGGAGGCAGGGTGGAGGGGAGATCAAGGGTAGGTTTGAAGCAGACAGCCTCTCGCCTCCCACTTAACTGGTGGTGGTACTCCCCGCCCCTCTGAGAAATTAAACCAACCTCAGCACGGAAGATTCAGCAGACACGTTTGGAAACGGTGGTCAACTTGAAAGAGCTGCAAGTAGTTTCAAGGTTCTCTCAGCTGCTATTAGTCAGGTATTGACCTTGGGATGTGGTCACAGGGATTATGTATTTTATTTTGCCATCCACTCCCTCTAACACTCTGATACCTCTAACTATGCGGGCAATAAAGAGTCTTTCATACAGCCTCTGAATATTATCTTTGAGCTCCTCTGGGAGCAGCCCAGCCTCTCAACCCTCCCACCTTTCCAGTGAGTAATTCCACAGGGCCACCTCTGCAGTCCTCCCCTCCTAGAAAAGTAGTTTTTCTCTCAGTAGATCCAGCTTCCCTCCTTCGGGGAGGGGGGGGGGAGCCTTTCCTAACCTCCACCATTCAGACAGGAGCTAATATGCCTTCTCAGCTGTCTGACTAAAAGTCACAGCACATTTCAAAGAAACGAGCAGAACTAGTGAAGGTTTTGATCGTTGTAGCCTCCTCTGTATTCCCATAGCACTGCTTCAACAAATTCACTCTGGGACTGAGCCATTCTGATTTATAACTGACCACTTCACATGTCTTATCTCCCTCAGCAGACTCTGAGCTTCTTAGAACTGTTGCGAATTTCCAGCAAACTGCCCAGGACATAGTGTGCCCTCAATAAACTACCAGCGGAGGGGAAAAAAACCCATAAAATGAACTGCCACCTTAGGTCCCTCAGCCGATCTCAGTGACTGAGTTCAGAAGAAGAAATATTTCAGAGGTGATCAAAACCAAACAGTCTTTATATAGCAGCCGGGCCATGATGCGCAGCTCAGCGGAAGGCAGTCTCAAACAAGGGTCCCTTTGACAGGGCAGCCGTGCCCACGTTGCTTAGGCACTCACTATGGGCAGAGCAGCAAACGTGGTTCTGCAGAATTTACTTTCCCAAGGCCTGGCAGTTCAATAAATACATTCCCCAGCCCCCACTTCAATGTCTCTCCTATATCCTTCTGACCTTTAATACTGTGTAACATTAGATGAAAAATTAATTTTTTTGGCTACTTATTTTGCAGCTGAAGAAAAATATACTGTTTAAGGTGTCAAATATTTTTACATGCAACAAGCCCGGCATGAATCTAACCTGTATGCACATTTTAGAGGCGCAGGCGTAAATGTCAGCGCTATAATTTGTTATAGGTTTCTGATGACCAGCAATGAAATGACCACGGATTTTCACAATTCAAACCACTTTTACGTAAATGTGAACTTTCCTAAAACAGCCAAGGGAGAGAACTTTCCATCCAAGCTCATGGAGCCTCTTCGAGATACTGATAGCACTGTTCACTGGGTTAGGTGTTCCTTGAGAAAATCCTACAAATATTAGCTTCTTTCTGGGACTATGCTTTGACCTTTAACAAAAATGTGCTTCAAGACACCAGTTATGAAAATGAAAGGAACAGTTTGTAATGCCTGAACAACTTCCATTTCATATAATCAGCCCTGCTGAAGGCTATACGTTTCAAGCTAGCAATGTTTAAAAAAAAATACATTTGGTGACTACATTGAAATTGCTCACTTACCAGACATGAAGAAGAGTTACAAGAAACCACGAGTTGAATGTATCAGGCATCTGACACCCTAGAAAATAACAATAAAGTATAACAGGTTTAATATGAATGGGTTTAGAGAAGAAATATTGATTATCTTTTAAATATTGGCAGGAATTTGTTCAACTAAAATACACAGCAGTTACGGGACTGTCTGATGATGCTATGGAGCGGGCGGGAAGCCACAGGGGCAGGACCCCAAGTTTGAAGAAAACCGACCGCAGTCAGACAGCCAGCCTTTCAGTCCCAGCCCCACCACTGCCTTGCTGCGCAGCCTTGGGCAAACCAATTCTCTTCCCTGCGCCTCAGCTTTTTCACTTCATTATAATGTGACCAAGATGATCTCCATGGTTCCTTCCAATTTCCATGTAATTCTGTTATTTTCCCTTCCTGGTCTCAAGTTCTTCTGGAAAACTAGACAGACACCACCTTGCCTACTTCACTTATTAAGGACAGGCTTTTTACTTGCACTCCGCTGAGAAGTCTAAGTTCTTCTAGTCTCCTTTTCCTGTCTTCTCTCTTTGAGGTGACCCAGTGTGTTACTGAATGATTCACCCAAAATAAATAACCAGAAGGAAGAAGTAGGGCTCTGGGGAGCTGTAGCCGAGTAAGAAAGCAGACCATTTCCAACGAAAGGCTCCGGGAATGACAAAACTCGGCAGGACTTCCTTCTCCTTGGTTTAAGATACCAAAAATCAGTCCGTGCTCAGCCATCCAAGCATCTCCGATCTCTAAGAAATGCCTCGGGCTGGATGAGGGGTCCCCCACTGAATATATTTCTCAATAAGGAGAAAATGACATGACAGGGAGAAAAGGTGAAGCAAGAGGATAAAGAAAAAAGAGAATCCGTGGGTCGAATCTGTCCTTTAGAGCAATGACTCAAGAAATAAGTGGTACCTTCTGCCTTTCAGAAAACAGTAAAGTACACAACATACTAAATGATAACAAGTAGGGGCCATGAGGAAAGAAAACACAGGGCAGGACCCTTGTGAGGAACACTCACACACCAATAACGATAAAGAGCTGGAACCCACTATGGGCCTGCTTTGTGCCAAACGTTACAGGAGGCGCTTTACACGCACTGGCTCAGTGAGTCCTCCCGACAGTCCTGGGAACTGGGGATTGCTACTGTCCCCATTTGACAGCTGAAAACACTGGCTCTTGGAGGGATCAGGACAATTGCCTGGAGTCACAGCTATGAAATGAGACATGTGGGACCAAATTCAGATCTGCCGACTCCAGGCACTGCGGTCTTAACTCTCAATCGCCCATCTAACATCAGAAACTAACACTCACTAAAGGCCCATATGACACACCAGGTCCACGGCTAGTCATGTCAGTCAGTGCAACACCTCCCTTAATCCTCACTTTACCCTGAAGGAGGCATTAAAATTCTCATCCTAGAGATGAGGGAGCAGGCTCCAAAAAGCTAAGTAACTTGTGGGCAGCCACAATATTAACAAGCTAGTGGCTGCGCTGGGGTTTAAGTCCGGGTCTGACACAAAATGACACCAAAATATTCTGGTGAGCTTACTGGGAGGTGCCCAGCAGCTGTCAAGTGGACTTCCTCTTGGAGCCCAGCAGGACGGAGGTGAAGGCTGGCCATACAGCTATTAAGACACATGCCATCTGAGAGTGGGCCAACCACCCTCCACCTAGAACAAGAATAGCCATGAGAAACTCTCAAGCCCGGATCTGAAGTTGGGTCTTTTTTGGATGCTAGAACAAAACATTAAAAAGAAAAGTTTTCTTGGAAGTCTGTCTTTCAATCTGGAAAATGAAATTTGGCTGCCTCCAAAGGACAATCTGTTCAACTGCTACCTCTACATCAAAGCTTCTCAGCAGCCTCCAGGAGCCTTTCCAATTTTCTCAGAGAGGGAATCAGTTCTGGGGCTGGAAAGCACAGACAGACAGACAGGCCAGCAACTGGACCTGGGTCATGATTTTCCCTTCTGGGGATCAGCTCAGGACTGAGGATGGGAAAAGAGCTGGCATATGACTGGTTCCTGTACACACTGGGGTCAAAACAGAAACCCACAAGGTGAAGCCCTAAAAAACAAGACCACTCAACACGAAAACACGGCAGATTCTTTAGCTCGATGAAATGAGTTCAAACACTTCAAAGTTAAAACCTGCTGTAGAGTCTTTTGCCATAACCACACTCTTGCTCCAGCACACACTCAGTGCATTATTTTCTGAGACGAGGCACTTTCTTCCTCAACACCGAGTTAGATAAAATTCATTGCTGTTATAGGGAGTTGGTGTTGACATGGTTGTTTGTTTAATGCAGGCTCTGGGGTCGAACTGCCTGATTCCAAACCATGACTACCTCTCACTGGCTTCAAGACTCTGAATAAAGTTACTTAGCCTCTCAGTGCCTCAGTTTTCTTCTCTGTAAAAGTGGGGAGAACAAGAGAAGCTACATTATAAAACCTTTGTGAAGACTAAATAAGGCCTGTAAAGTGTTTGGAAAAATGGTTAACATTTAATAGGTATTCAATAAATATTCACTATTGTTATTTTTCAGTGAGTTATTTAAACGCTAGGGGTTTAATTACCTTAGAAAAAACTCACTAATTATTTAAGACTGTGTCAATGAAATGATGAACTCCAATCATTGACTCACTCATTAAGGAGCCCCCTCTCAAAGTGTTACATGTTAGGGCCTAACCACAAAACAGCCTGCAGACAGCAGTATGGAATTAAACACAATGCTACTGACTGGCTGCCTCTGATCCAAAGTGCCCTTCAAAACAGAACTGGTCTCCAAAAGACCAGTTAGCAAAGCTCAGAGAGGATGCACTGGTTTATGCACAGCAGTGGGCTGCTGAGGTGTCTCACTGGTCAGAACCCACAGTTCCCGGCTCTGGATCAAGATCTCTGAACACTGACTGTGGCTTTGGGATGACAGTCTACTTTGGCATTTTATGGGGACCCATCCAAGAGGCTTATACACATGTTGTTTACTCACAAGTACCCTGCGGGTAAACCAATCAGTCTTACACATTATTCATCAAATATCATTGGCCTCACTTTTGCTGGAGTGAGGATGAGACTAAGCTACCTGAAGTTCTCCATCCTTTCAAAAAATCACTAAACTCTCAGGACTCTAAAGATCAAGCCCTAAAATACCAAAACCCAAGGGACCAATGACCACCTGAAAGGTGTAATAGAAATATACATATTCTCCTCTTTTAACCCAATCTGTCTGGTCTACTCCTTAGATTCTAAGATGGAAAAAAAGAGTCAATTTCATTATTTTATAGATATTCTTTATCTGTCTTCAAATGGTACTTTTCAGATTGGCTCCCTTCTTTTAATTCCCTAGCCACAGTTTGGAACCACTCTGATTTGATGTTAAACATTTTATTTTATTTTTGATTTTAGAGAGAGGGGAAGGGAGGGAGCAAGACAGGGTGAGAAACATCAATGTAAGAAAGAAACATCGGCTGGCTGCCTTCTGTATGCACCCTAGGGGACTGAACCTGCACCCCAGGCATGTGCCCCAACCAGGAACCAAGCCAGTGACCTTTCTGGTTCCCAGGACAATGCCCAACCAAGTGAGCCACACCAGCCAGAGCTTAGTTTGATTTTAAACTTTAATCTACCCACAAATGACAAAGATGGACCACAATGGGGCATAATATCACTGAATACTCCATGGTTCTAAAAGGCAATTATCAAACTGAGTCTTAACAAACCTGAAATGGGTAAGACTGACATCACTGAACACTGTGCAGCTGCCCCCCACCCGGTTCACTGCTGCACGAGGCAAAGCTGGGGCAAAGCTCACTGAGACATACACACTTCAGTATATAAAATCATCGGTTTGCTATGCTAACAGAGCTCCTCCCAGGCAGTTCTCATTTAAGTATAATAAAATACAAAACTACTCGGATGAATCACAATTTCTCATTTGAAATTACACTCACTCACAAACAATATGTTACAGGGGGAAAGTTCCTGGGTTTTAAACCAATGACACAGGGTCAAAGCTGGTTGAACACAATCTGGACGGGTCACTTAGCCTCTTCAAGTTTCAACTGTTTCCAGAAACACAACAAAAATAAAAATAAGAATCAAAGCCCTTCCTATCCCACAAGGTTTCTTAAACTTCTAATGAAAAAATATAAAAGTATACCATGTAATTGTGAATTATTCATATATATGGTAATAATTTTTATAAACTTTTATTTTTTAAGTAGTTTACAATAAGAATATAAATCAAAACTTAAATGTCTCATTATCTGCTACACTAACTCAAGAATCTTCAATAATGAGGACGGGCTAAGACAAAGATAACTAGTAAACATTTCAAAATAATTATAATACATTTCTGAGTTATTTATTGAATCAAGTAGTAAATAGAAGTCTGAGGATGAAGTTTTAATATCTGCTGAAAAATACTTAAGCACATGGATTAAAGAAACTACTTTAAAAACTCCAGCTTCTACGTATTAATAGTTTCTTCTTCATCAGATACAGGAAGAATCTTTTCCTTTCAGATTAATCTTTCCTAAAATGAGAAACTGTTCGAGATTAAAAGAAAAACAGAAAAGTTTTCTTCCTTCACTATGAATACATAAGAAATGAAAGGTGGATACTAAGGCAGAATCACAACTTAGTGTATGATATAATTTCTAATATAGTATCAATCTGCTGAAATACTAAAAACAAACAAAGCTCGCATTTGCTTTTAAAAACTAAAACAGTTATTAAATAATCAAAACTGCATCCAGCTTTATTTTTGTGCACATAGTTACCTATAAATATTTTCTGCCTGTGGAAAATACCAAGTACACACGATTAAGTGTTTGCTGCTTGGAGGGTAATGGCTGCCACCACGACACGCCTTGCACACAACGCCTCCCCAGCAAATGTGTGGGACTGGAAGTGGCTTAAACCTGCCCAGTAACTTTACAAGTACCTGCTTTAATTAAATTTGTTTATAACTACAACAGTCCAGAGCATCAAAAGGAACACTCTATACAATCAATGGCTCAGAGTGGCCTAAGGCAGTAAAGCCCTTTGGAAAGCAACTTATTGATGGGATGTAAATAATAAAATTATATGCGCCTTTTGCCCCAACAGTCCTTCGGCAGAAAAAAGAAAAATCATGAGGCACATGCCTGGATTAACTGAGACAATTAAAAACTAGAAACAGCCTGGGCTGGGTGGCGCAGGTGGTCAGCGTGTGCTACCGCGATGCGCCAAGGCTGCGGGGTCCATCCCCAGTGGGGGCACACACAAGAATCAGTGAATGAATACACAAATGAGCAAAACAACAAATCGCTGTTTCTCTCTCTGTTTTTTCTCTCTCTCTCAAATCAATCAATTAAAAAAATTTTAACGAGAAATAAAAGGGGACCAATTGGCAAAAAGTTCACATCAAAATGCTAAGTAAAACGTCTAGAATGTAAGAGGCCTGTTCACATGAGTACACATTATGACGTAAAAAGATGCATGTGTGGACAAGGAGGGTGTTAGCGTCAAAGCGCCAGGCCAGTGGTTTCCAGCGCGCCACTTCCAAACAGGCAATGCCTGGCTATCCGGCCAGGACACTGACCTCTGTTGCCTTGATTGTCAAATTAAAAAATGACAACAGACAACATAGCTGTCTGGGGTGAATGAATAAATATTATACCTATTTTTTTCATCAGCTCAGCAAAAAATATATTTTTTGGTGTGTGTGCCACAGAATTTTAGTAATTAATAATTAGTTCATAAGATGAAAAAGGTTGAAAATCACTGTACTAGACAGATTTTTTTCCCCAAACTTCTTCAAATATTTTATTTATAGGGTTCCTCTGGTCTTTGTTTATTCTATTAAAAGAGAAAAATTAGCAGCTTTTATTACACACATTGTGAAGGAAAAATGATTTCACTAGTGACTTTAAAAATATATATCCTATTAAAAAACAAACCATAAAAAATAAAAAGTAAATTCATTTTCCTTTCCAGAACTATCAAAAACAGTAACTTACTTAGAAAGAATTCCTCGAAGTCAGTTTTCTTCACACAGCTAGTGTACATGCGCAGTGCCGCAATCTTAATCTTCTAGACAAAGAAAACAGAACCAGACTCAACACACGACCAAGTGGACATGCTCTGGCCATCAGACAAGGTCGGAGAACCTTCTATTTCTTCAACTAGAAGGAAGAGTCCAAACCTGTCTCCAGGCAATTTAGTAGCTAAACAAACACAAGATATTTCTTTCTACTTTTAAAGCTAGTCATTCATACAGACTTCACACAAGTTACACATTTCAGGGCTTTAGTATGAAAATGTCAAAAAGATTTTTCCGATAGTTATGCAAAATCTCTCCTCTGATTCCAGCCCAGTTCACTACATTCAAGTCTCTAAACCACGGTTTCACATCCACCACATCAGTTCTTTGTCAACTAAAACCCTTTATTACTAAAAAAATCACCCATTCTTCTGACCACAATCGATCAAACAAACAAACAAACAAACAAACAAAAACCTTAATCCTTTAACCTTTCCTTAGAGGAAAAAGTATCAGTTCCTTGAGCCTTCTTTTTCTCTTGGAGAAAGTCATTTTTCCCCCTAGTTATACAGTTAGCTAATTAACAGAAGACTGTGTTTACAAACAAGAGCTTCTAATGAATGTAAAATATAGTAGGAGAACTGACCTTTTACTATTCTCCAAAGCACTAAGAATTTTCTTAGAATTTTGATCTGAGTGGAAGTTTTAATTTATTCTCTGAGCTGTAAACTTAAGGTTTGTATATTTTACTATATGTACATTATGCCTTAATGAAAATAAATAAGTTCTTTTAGGAGTTGAACTGTAGATCTGAAGACCAACTCAGTACTAACTAAATAGGTATTTCTAAGGACTTTCAAAATATTTCCTTAAGGATACAATTAAATAAACTAGCACATCAACAAAAGGCTTATAGAAGTTTATTTATTCTTAAAATACCCAGAGAAAATTACAAACTCAAATATGCACAAACTAAAGAAAAATATGCACAGACTGAGAATGACATAGCAACTAAAGAAAAACCAATCTGGAATGTTACTAGAGGTATATTATGATGGTTCAAAGTCACCAAGGATATTATATCTCCAGTACTATACAATCTTCATATTTCTTTACACTCTAGAGTCAGAACAGCAGACTTTCATGGGCAGAAATAACCATAATAAATAAAGGAATGATTATGTATGTCTCTGACTGAAATTAAAATTTTTTTATTTGACAAGTTGAGGCCTGTCGTGATTTCAAGGCTTTTAGATTAAAGCTCACATAGGGAAAAGCAGAACAGAACATGTTAACCAGCAGATACCAGATATACTTATGTAAGGAGTGAATCGGCATCGGAAGCCCATGATTAAACAAAAGCCACGGCACAACACTAGAAAAACAGCAAATTAAAGCTAAAAGCAAGCAGAAAGAAAGCTATAACAAAGACTAAGAGCAGAAGTCAACAAAATTGAACACAAAAATATAGAAAATCAAAGAAACCAAAGCTGGTTCTTGAAATACCAGTAAAATTGATAAAACTTTAGTCAGACTGATAAAGAAAAAAAACAAACCAAGAAACAGAGACGATACAAATTACCAACATCAGGAATCAGAGGATCACAAACCCTAAGGATTTATCAATAAATCCTTAGGATGGATAATAAGGGAATATTAGAAAAAACTTTATTTCAATACATGTGATCACCTAGATGAAAAGGACAAATTCCTTGAAAGATACAAGCTACCAAGGCTCACTAGCATAAAAAAACCCATGAATAGTCAGTCCTATATCTATAAAAAAAATGGATTTGTGGTAAAAACCTTCCCCTGAAGAAAACTCAACACTCAATGGCATTCACTACAGGATTCTACCAAACAAAAGAAAGGACACCAAATCTACACAAACTCTTCCAGAAAACAAAAAGAAAGAACACTTCCCAGATCATTCTATGAGATCAACATTATTTACTCTGATATCAAAACCAAAACTAGAGAATCAGAGCCTTCATGAATACAGAATCAAAAATTCTGAACAAAATATCAACAAATACAGGGTCCAGCACAAATAACGCCCCTCTTTTATTAGAAAATCATAAGCATGTAATTCTATAATATAACAATATCAGACTCAAGCATACCATATGACATTTTAGGTGAAATGTTCAAATTAAAACTATAAATTATTATACCCTACCAACCACACTTAAGCAGGCCTTACTTCTGCCAGACCCTATAGAATACATCAATATTTAAAAAGAACAGCCCTGGCTAGTATAGCTCAGTGGATTGTGTGCGGGCTGCGGGCTGCAAACCAAAGGACGGCTAGTTCAATTCCCAGTCAGGGCATATGCCTGGGTTGTGGGCCAGGTCCCAGTGGGGGCCACATGAGAGGCAACCACACATTGACGTTTCTTTCCTCCCTCCCTTGCCCTCTCTCTAAAAATAAATAAATACAGCCCTGGCTGGTGTAGCTCAGTGGATTGAGCTGAGCTCAGGACTGCGAACCAGAGGATTGTGGTTCAATTCCCAGTCAGGGCACATGCCTGGGTTGCAGGCCAGTTCCCTGCAGGCTATTTCCCAGCAGGGGAAGCACTAGAGGCAACCATACATCGATGTTTCTCTCCCTCTCTCCTTTCCCTCTAGAGATAACTAAATAAAATCTTTAAAAAAAAGAGCTATTTTAATAAATAAATAAATAAACACAGTCTTTAAAGAAATAAAAAGAACAATATATTATGACAGATCGAGTGGGATTTATCCCAAGAATGCAAAGTTGATTCAACATCTGCAAATGAATCAGTGTAACTCACCATATCCATAGGCTAAGAAACAAACATGCTTAATTTCATTAACACCTTCAGGTTCTTGGAAGTATCTGACACAGAACATATTGTGGAAAGCAATGGTCTGTACCATCACCAAACTAATGATATCATTATCCTAATACTTTGGTCTTGACTGGCCTATTCCTATTCTTGAGGCAAGGAGTTTAGGACACCTGTTAGCTAGCTCTTTGCTTCATTCAGTAAAGAATTTACTGGGTATCTAACTCAATGCCTGGCATTGATTTGGATGCTGGAAATAGAGCAGCAAACAAAGCAGTCAGAAACTCCCACTTTTGCCCTGGCTGGTATGGCTCAGCTAGTTAGAGCATCATCTAGTACAAAAAAAATCCGGTTCGATTCCCGGTCAGGGCGTGTACCTAGGTTGCAGGTTCAATCACCAGTTGGGGCATGCATATGGGAGGCATCCAATAGATGTTTCTCTCTCCCATAGATATTTTTTTTTTGCTCTCTCTAAAATCAATAAACATAGGCCCTGGCTGGTGTAGCTCAGTGGATTGAGCATGGGCTGTAAACCAAAGGGTCACCAGTCCGATTCCCAGTCAAGGCACATGGTTGGGTTGCAGGCCAGGTCCCCAGTAGGGGCCACGTGAGAGGCAACCACGCACTGATGCTTCTCTCCCTCTCTCCCTCCCTTTCCCTCTCTCTAAAGATAAATAAATAAATAATCTTGAAAAAAATAAAATCAATAAACATACTTTTTAACAAAACTCCTGCTTTCATAGAACTTATAGTCTATTCAACTATAGACACATTTACAACTTCAAGTGAAATTCCCAATGGCTATTTCTTGATTTTTTTTAACTCCACAGTTCCCTTCAGATTCTTATATAGAGAGTCTTTTAGGTTCATAGTTAATCACTCCGCCTAAGGAAAGGCAGACTTGTGTCCAAGGCCCAAATCTTTCCTTGAGAAGGAGGATTTCCTCCACAACATGTTCATGAAGAAAGCATTCATTACAAATCATGAAGACTTCACCAGATTGGCCAGGTGTTTATACAGTGCTCATACTGTGGCCATCGGGAGCATTTTATAGTTCCTCACTTTTCCTACAGTGAAGCCAAACCTTTATACTTTTGGGTGAGCCATTTTCCTGGACAAATCTCTAAAGCCAGTCCCTAATACCATCACACAGGGACTAGAAATAACAACCTAAGGAAAGAACCGATTCAAGATTCACATATTAATATAAGTGAGCTTTGGTAGTCTGTATCTTTCAAGTTTGTATCTTTCAACTAAATTTCCACCCAGTCAATACGTACGAATTATTCTGGTCCTCAGATGACACTTCTTATTTCATTCTAACTTTGGAAGACTTCATAAATCTACCTGACTAAAACAGAAACACTAAGAAAGCTTTAGGAAGTGAAAATCAGCTCTCCCGTGAACACACATTTTGTCCCATCCTACAAGGTGAAAAACAAATCTAATAAAAGGCTTCCACTAAGGGAAGGGGCTTTGAAGTTGTTGGAACCTTCTACTCTGTGCTGGAATTCTTTCTACAGCATTCCCAAGACACAGGCAACCATCTGGGTCCCTGTTCATTAAGTCCAATGACCTTGTGAGGCCACCTATCCCACTGGAGGACAATTCTTTGTTAGGTTTTTTAACTTAAATCTGCTTCATGTAACATTCATTAATCATCTGCCCACTGGAATACGTCAGATTAGGTCTTCCTTTTCTTTATGTCTGCCCCTCAAATACGTGAGAAGAACCATCCTGTCTTCCCTTTTCCAAGCTAAGCACCTTTTTTCCTCCAACCACTCTTCATCCAACACGGTTTCCAAAGCCTTCACAAGGCTCAGTGCCTCTATCTGAATGCATTCCAGCCTGTTCAGTCGTCCTTCACAACTGAAATAATCTTTTGGGTAAATGCTAATCTGGAAACTGCCTATTCTATGACGCTGTGGCTGAATCTCGTAAATGTTGTGCTTGTCTTACTTGATATTATTACTACATGAAGATAATGAAAAAGCTTGGCTATTTCAGAACAGTCAAATAGGTAAGGAAAAGGTACATTTAAATTCCTAAACATGAACCTAGAAGAAAAATGAAACTCCATATAAAAAGATTGCAGAAAAAGATGGAGGAAGAAAGGTTGATCCTGATGATGGGGGACAGGCAAGCAGGTGTTTTACTCCCTAATCAAAGGCATGTAAAAACCCAAAACTCGCAGAATCTCACCAGTACATTCCCAAACAAGTATCTGGTCACAGATTTCAAAGTCAGCACTTCCTGAAAAGAGCTCACAATCTTTCAAAATGGAAGGTTATACCTGCATTTTCACACCTAAATTACACTAGAATGTCATCTTTGATGTTTTGAAATCACAAGTTAAAAAAATTCTAGTACTAAAAAATAGCAAGTACACACTGCCACATCACAAAAGATTTTTAAAATACAAATATTAGAAACTTAGTTGAGATCACAAGGGAATAAAGAAAAATCAGAGGCAAACTCAAGCTAAAGTGGTAAAGAAATTTTCTGGTGGTTTAATAATCCTCCAAATGGTAGCCAACTTTCCCTCTGGAATTATTAAAAAACACACTAGACAAAGAATATAGTAGTGACCAAGTGGAACCAAATCATCAAGAAATTAATAAAACAGTACTTTTTTCTTTTCTTCTGCTCTCTTTCCCTTTTCTTTTAATTAACTTCTGATTTTCAAACAAAATGCATTTTCAGTTTTTCTATCCAAATGCCATAATCATGACCATTTCTTTCAATAGGGGAAAAGATTCTGGTTAATAACATTATCAAATATACCAAAGATTACCAATTGTCAAAGAATTAAGATGCAGAAAAGATGACTTTCATGAACATAACTAGTATTTCTTTGATGATTAAGGAGGCACTTTAAAACTTTAGGGTCTCAAGAATACCATTATTACCTCGTATGTGTTTTATTTTCTATACTTTTCAAAAGCCCCTTACAAACAAAATGCTGGTGGAATCACTGTTCACTTTTTGGAATTTATGTAAAAGGAAGGTTATAGAGAGAAGCCTATACTTGGTACAGCGAGAAGCATCAGGAAGAGAACCACACATTATAAGAGAAAACTAAAAGTAGAAGTCTAATAAAACTGAAATTCTAATTTGAATCCAACTTGTTAAAATGGTGTAAATGGTATTATTTGGTAATCTGGGCAAAACTATGATGTTATCTAAGAAATAGGTAACATCTATTGGCTTGCTTCGACTAATATATGACTTACGACTGATTAGGCTTATCCAACATTCTAGCAATTATAAAAGGCCCTTCTGCTGTAATGGTAAAGAGAAACTGGTAGAACTGAAGACGACTAGAATGAAGAAAACTAAATGGCCAATGTAGGGGCAGTATGCACCTAATGCAGAGAGGACATTCATTAACTTACAGCAATACTATATATCAGATAACATGCTAGGCCAAGAGTTGACTAGGCATGATAAAGCTAGCAAATATGTCTCCAGAATAAGAATTATAATAATCAAAGTTTAAAAAAGGAATTATAATAAATCAAAGGGGCAATTAATTTAAAAGATGCTTATTACTAAAATTTTAAAGGAAGTCACTACAATGACCTAGTGAAAATCATTTACAAATATGGACACAGTAACATTTCTGTAAGAACACTGCCCATCAGAACATCTGGCCCATCTAATTCCTTAGAACTCATCTGTGTGACGTACCATGTAGCGAGAACCTGGAAAGCCCAGTCTTGTTGGCCTGCCTGCTATGGAGATAATTCCAAGGAATCAAGTTGAGGGAACAGAGGGAATTATTTCAGTGCCTCATGCTGTACAGATCTGACTCAGAAAGGGGGTAAGGGCATCAAGACACATTCTGAAGCTCTCAAAATAATGTATGAATGTCACAGAAGTAAAGCAAAAGCTTTAAAAAAATCTTCTATAAGGAGCAGAAAGCACAAAGCCCCAAAGGGAAAATGAGAAGAACTCACAAGCCCTTACCCATTTACTGTATTTCAAAGGTCCAGTGAACCCCATGGCTTCTATTATCTTCGTGAAGACACCAACTTTTTCCTCAACAGGCTCTGGGAAATCCTTGGTGGTAGAAAGCTATTTAACCAAAAAGAGACCAAAATTAGTGGCAAAAAAAATTTTTAAGAATGTGTTTGTTTCTCATTAGGTCTAAGAGCATTTTTATTGCTTAGCTTTTCATTTTCACCTAGAATTTTTAATTATCACTTTTCTAGTCATCTTATCACTCAGCCCAAACACGTCGGGTCCTCCAAATTTCGAAACAAGACATCCCCTCCTCCCCGACCATATGCCTCTGCATCCATGTCTGGGAAGTGATCGATTCTGGGTGTAAGAATAAAAGTTCTACAGAAAAGAGTACTCCTAAAAGGAAATCATGACAACACCCACCCCCACCACGCCCCAAAGAACAAGTCTGAGAAGAGGAATGTTCTATGCTTACTGACATAAAGGAATTAGAAAGAAAAATACTGTCTAAAAAAAGTCAAATAAGCACTGGATAAATGTTTGTAGACTCTTGTATTTTCTTAGTATAACAAATTTTATTAATGACTATAGAAGATGAGTCTAGAAGTTTGCAAATAACCTCCAAGGAAAACCTGTTCTAATGCTACGCCTCTCCAGGCAGGGTATATAACCAATAAAAAATACTCCAAAAGATAAATATTACTTTATTTTTAACATGCAAAAATTTCATAAAGACTTATTTCTCTAAAGCTTTGTCCAGGCAAGAGAGCACAATGGAAGAAACAGAGGACGTGGATCAGAAGCCTTAGCAAGTGTTCGGTTGGTCTGTCACTTACCATCCTTGTGACCTTGGGCAAGCCTGCAATGGGTGAAATTCCTTGCCTCATCCAGCTAACGATTTTGCTGAGATTCAAAGAACACCTGTGTGACAGCACTCTATGCACATAGAAAGCAATAATAATTCTCACCTTATCTGTGGTGTGATACTTCCTACTCAGCTGTATGTCTATTCCAGGGCTCTGTTCTGAGCCACCACATGCTAGGGACTGGCTCATCTGGGGCCACTTGGGGATTAAAAAAAAAAAAAACAGTTGTAAGCAACACTGAGCATTCACTTAATTCACTTACAGGGTTCCTCTAAGCAGAGCTTTTTCAAAGTAAAGACCACAGAATCTTTCCAGCCCAATTCCTGGTGACCTGGTCACCAACAGGATTCAGGATTGGTACCCAGAATGCTGTCAGGTACATGGTAGGTACTCAATAAATATCTGTCAAATACTTTAATAAATAAAAGGAGTTGGCCCTGGAAACCTGAAACTAAATACATCTGAGTTACCTTTAAGAACTAGAACTGCAATAAATACCTACTTAAATATTGGCAGCAATGCATATACAGAGGAAAAAACCAAAGACTTTCACAGCAGTTAGTTTTAAGTTTGAAACCTGCTGTTGCAACTTACAAGCTCTCTAGAGAGCCATGGGGAAGTACCGAAACTTAGCTGTAATGAGGACAGAAGGAACTAACACAGTGGTCTTCCCCTTATCCAGGGTTTCACTTTCAGTGGTTTCAGTTACCTGTGGTAAATGCAATCCAAAAATATGAAATGGAAAACTGCAGAAATAACAATTCATAAGTTTTAAATTGCACATCAATCTGAGCAGAGTGATGAAACCTCACGCCCTCCCACTCCATCCCCTCCAGGACACGAATCACCCCTTGGTCCAGCGGATCCACACTGCATGCGCTGTCTGCCCCTCAGTAACTCAGTAGCTACAGTGGTCATCACACTGCCTGTCACAGTTTCACCGTGCTTGTGTTCAAGCAGCCCTTACTTTACTTAATCATGGCCCTAAAGCATTAGAACAGTGATACTGGTGATTCGGATATGCCTAAAAGAAGCCATAAAGCACTTCCTCAAGTGAAAAGATGACTAGAATACAGCAAGATACTTTGAGAAAGACCACATTCATATAACTTTTATTGCAGTATACTGTTATAATTGTTGTTTAATTATTAGTTATTGTTGTTCATCTCTAACTATGCTTATATATTAAATTTATCGTAGGTATGTATGTATAGGAAAAAACACAGTAATGAGGGCTCGGTACCACCTGCCATTTCAGGCATCCGCTGGGGGTGTTGGAACATATTCCCCATGGCTAAAGGGGGGCTACTGCATATGTAAAATGCCTTTTATAAAATAGATACTCAATAAATAATAGACACTTTCATCGCTATCATCATCATCATTCAGATCAGAATTGCCTTCCTTTTACTTTCGCTCATGGCATTTGAAAGTATTTTGGCAATATAATAGCAAAATTATTTATAATTATTATATGCCAAGTATTATGCTAAGTACCTTACATATATGACCTTCTTCAATCCTCACCATAACCCTTTTAGGTTAGTATTATTATAATCAAGACCAATAAAAATAGTTCTGAAAATAAATTCCTAAGAAAAAAACTACAGGCAAGAGATCCTCATTGCGGAGTGAATATGGGTAAAACTGGGGGAAGGGTCCCATAAGGAAGGAGATGGTTAATTAAATTAAGGTACTCAATGGAAAATCTGGTAACCGCAGAGATTTTTTAATAGATTTTCTTTTTTAAAGCAGTTTTAGATTCACAGAAAAAATGAGCAGAAAGTACAGAGAGCTCCCACATATATGTCCACCCCCAAAACACACACCCCACCCCTGATTATCAGCCTCCTCCACCAGAGTGGTGTACTTGTTACACTCAATAAAACCTACAAAGACACATCATTATCATTCAAAGTCCACAGTTTACATTAGAGAGTATTATTTTTAGCAACATGGAAAAATATGGAGAAAATTATAAGTAAAAATATGAATGTATATGGACAAGCCTGGAAAAGAACACAATGACACACTGATGTGAAAAAGTTATTTTGTTAATAGTAGAACTATGGATGAGTTTAAGAACCTAGCTTCCAAGCTTTCAATAATATTGTGTTATCTTTACAATAAGAAGAGGTGGGGAGGGGACAGGAGGAGGGTACGCCTTCAACTCTGGCTATTTCCAAGAAGACATGAGACACTTGAAATGAAAATAAATTTTTTGTTCATTCTAATGAAGAAAAAATGGCATTTCTAATTGTGGAGAGTTACTATTTACTTTTCTTTCCTTCGAAACAAGGATATTAAAAGATTAGTCAGGATTCTTCTAGTCAGCCCCAAGGACACTTAATGCTTTTATTCATAGGTACCAAGCAGGCTTTGTAAAACACAGACTAAACACAGAACACCTCCCATTACATCACATACGTCAACGTAATGGTCCGTCTAAAACACAAAGCACTTAGATGGGGTCAAAAACCATATCCAACAGCAGTTTCAGCTTTGGGGGGAGTTCTCTTCTATCAAATTACATCACTTTCTCTCTGCCCATAACTCCAGGAGTAACCAATGGATTCCTTCTGAGACTGTTTCACCACCTGCTGTATTTCTGTCCTACAACGATATTCATGAGCTAGCATTTCACACTGTACTGAGCTACTGGATTACCTAGGAGCTGGTACTAAGGACAACATCTGGCGTCCTCACACCTACACACAGTGTGAGCACACACACTTACTTTTTTATACCCCTGTGCCCTCCCAAAAGACTCCCTTGACCTTTAAAGAAATCATTTTTCATTCATTTAAATTGCAAAAAATAGCCTGAAAATACTCAAATGTCACCTTTTTCAAGGAGGCCTTTTCTGGCCATTTTATCTAAAGTAGTTTTTATTGCATTATCCTCTATCATAGCAAGAGTAGCCTGTTCATTTCATTCACAGTACTGGTTACAGTGTACAATTATATACTTATTTATATATTTGCTTATTTTCTACCACCACTACCTAAAAGATCCATGAGAGTAGGAACAAGGCATAATACCAGAATCAAGTACAGTGCACGGTACGTGGAAAACACTCAGACATTTATTGCATGAACAAATGAAACACCTGTGTGGTTATGTCTCATTGTTTCTGTCCTTACATTTCTCATTCATCCAACCCCTATCAAATGCCCAGGATGTGTCAGCCCTTATCCCAGGACTTAGGACAGGAACGGAATCCCTATCCTTAAGAAGCTCATAATCTTGTGGAGAAGAGAAAGAAGACTCACTACCCAAGAAACAGAACCAAATACCACATTTTAATGCTCACCCACCATACACACTATAAAAGGTTAGCAAGGGCAGAGAGCAACTAGAACTTGCACAGACTGCTGGTGGGAGTGCAAAATAGCACGATCACTATGGAAAATTATTTGGCTGTATCTACTGAAGGTGAATGTATGCGTATCCTATGTGACTCAGTCACTCCATTTCTAAGTATCTACCCCAACAGAAATGTGTCTATATGTTCACCAAAAAACACACATAAGAGTGTTCATAGCACCACCATTAATAAAAGCCCAAAATGGAAACAAGTATCCATCAATAGAAAAACGGATAAATTAATTGTAGTATATCCACATGATGATACTTTATCACAATGACAATTAATAAAACTCTTACTACACAAAGCAACATGGATGAATTCCTAAAACAAAGTTAAACAAAAGCAGACAAACACAAGAAAATATATACCACATGTATAAAAGGCAAAATGACACTATGGTATTCAAAGTAAAGGCCATGGTTAACCTTGGTTAGGGGCAGGGACTAAAGGGGGTCAAGGAAGCTTCTGGGGTCCCATTTCTTGATCTGGATGTTCATTATGTTCATTTTGTAATAATTCATTAAGCTGTATACTTATGATTTATTCATTTTTCTGTTATTTTATTATAGTTCAATAAAATGTACAAAAATTCTCAAAGATATGGAACAGGCGATATGAAAGAATGACCTGGAATCATTAGAAGAGTGAGCAGGCAAGAGAAGACGGGTGAGCAAGCAGAGGTGAGGAAGCGTGGTGTAATGGAGAGAAAAAAACTCTGAGTCAGACGGCTTGGGCTGAAGCTCCAGCTCTTCCTACCTCATAAATCTGTTCTGAGAACTAAATAAAATAATGTACGTCAAAGAGATGTGTCAACTATAATGCATAATATAAATGTAAAGACCTGCTCCAGACAACTCCAATGAGAAACTTTTTCTCAGGAAGCCTCTTGTTAAAAGAAACATAATTTTTTGCCCTTATATTTTGCTTCTCAAAAGGTTCTAAAAATGAAGAGACCAGCAAGAAAGGGAGGGAGAGAGAGAGAGAGAGAGAGGGAGGGAGGGAGGGAAAAGGGGAAAAGGAAAAGGAAAGAAGGGAAGGACTCAAGCGATTCTTGAATGCCATGGGTGTGCCTGGTCCTTTTAGCAAAACTATAAGCTCCACCAGGCACAGTCTACCTTAAACGTCTTTTATTTTCTGACCCAGTGCTCAACACCACTCTGGGCATGGAGTCGACACTCAATAAAAACTAGGTGGATTTTTTTTTTTTAAGTAGAAGGACAACCTGGAGAAGGTCCAGAAAAGAACCACAGGCATGATCAAAGAGATGAATGAAAGGTCTTAGTGGAAAGGTTAAAATGAATTGAGGCTGTTTAACTTGGGAGCAAAAGCAACTGAAGAACTAAGAAGTAACTTAGAATAACAACACTTGAGCTGGAAGAAATCTCGGAGATCTAAGTCCAACCTTTTCACTTCACAGGTGAGGAAACTAAGACACACAGGGAAAGGTTACAACTTAAGACGGGGCTCAGCACAAAGTTTTTTTTAAAGTTTCCATTTACACACTGAGGAGAAAATTAACTCCAGAGGCCTGAATATAAATAGCAACAAAAATACTAATTACAACTTACTAAAGATTTCCTACATGCCCAGCACCTATATGCTCAGTGCTTTACTTATGTTTACCTCACAACAACCTTGCAAAACAGAGACTATTTCTCTCCCCATTTTGGAAATGAGGACGCTAAGGCTTAGAGAAGTTCAGTAAGAGGCAGAACATACATACACTCAGATAACCCTATATCAAACAGCTGTCAAAACCTTAAGTAGAACTGAGTAACACAGACTCATGCACACTTAGCAACCCTTCGCCAAGAAAAGAAACCAGGGCTCCTCGGAGAAACTGTTGGGTCTCCGGCTAGAGCAAAGAAAATACAACGTGAACCTGAAATATCTTGTGGTGCCAGGAAATACGGACGTGTTCCAAAAATGATGAAGGCACCCTGGCCCGTGTGGCTTGGTTGGGCATAGTCCCACACACTAAAAGGTTACCAATTCGATTCCTGGTCAGGGCATGTGCCTGGGTTGCAGGTTCAGTCCCCAGTTGGGGCACTGAATGAAAGGCAGCCAATTGATGTTCCTCTCTCATATCAATGTTTCTCTCTCCCTTCCCCTCTCTCTAAAACTAAAAAAAAAAAGAAAAAATTTTAATGATGAAGGCACATAGAAAAGAATTTGAAGGAATTCCTAACAACCAAATCTGGGACAATTTGATCAACAAAATAAATAATGAGAATGATGAATTATAACTCATAGAAGAAAATTAATATTTATGAGTTCTTGATATAAATAAATAATGGAATAAATAAATGGAGAAGTGACAGCTCTTTCTTCCCAGAGAATTCTAATCAATAATTACAGCAGTGGCCCTGGCTGGTGTAGCTCAGTGGATTGAGCGCGGGCCTGCAAACCAGACAATCTCGGTTCGATTCCCAGTCAGGGCACATGCCTGGGTTGCAGGCCGGTTCCCTGCAGGCCAGTTCCCAGCAGGGGATGCGCAAAGGGCAACCATACATTGATGTTTCTCTCCCTTTCTCCTTCCCTTCCCCTCTAAAGATAAATAAATAAATTTAAAATAATAATAATAATTACAGCAGTAATGACAGAGCTAGAAAATCACCATTAAGCATATATATACCCCAGCAATGACTGTTGCAGTGAAGAACCAGTAACAGAATTACCATATGAGGCAGCAATCCCACTTCTAGGTATATATCCAAAAGAATTTCAAACAGGATCCTGAAGAAATATTTGCACTTATGGGTACTGCAGCATTATTCACAATAGTCAAGATGCGGAAACAACCCAAATGCCCATGAATAGGTAAAGAAAATGTGGTATGGACATACAATGGAATATTATGCAGCCTTAAAAAAGGAAACCCTGTTACATGGTATAACATGGATGCAACTTGAGGAAATTATGCTAAGTGAAGTCACAAAAGAGCAGACTGTGTAATTCCACTCATACCTCCTATGTGAAGTAGTCAAAATCAAACAAACAGGAAGAAGAAAGGTGGCTGCTAACAGCAGGAGGTAGGGAGTTCGTGTTGAATGGCTACAGAGTTTCAGTTTTGCAAACTGAAACAGTTCTAGAGCTCTATTGTATAACAGTGTGAATGCACACTACACTATCATTAAGGTGGTAAAATTTTTTTAAAGATTTCATTTATTTATTTTTAGAGAGGGGAAGGGCGTGAGAAGAGAGGGAAAGAAACATCAAAGTGTGGTTGCCTCTTGTGCGCCCTCTACTGGAGACCTGGCCGCAACCCAGGCATATGCCCTAGACTGGGAATCGAACTGGCGACCCTCTGGTTTGCAGGCTGTCACTCAATCCACTGAGCCACACCAGCCAGGACAAAAGTGGTAAATATAATATTATGTTCTTTTATCCACATGTTTAATATTAATGTTATATATCATTTAAAAAAGAACCATCCATGGACACTAAAAGTAGTGAGCAAAAGGATCAGAAACAGAATACTTGCATAGTCTCAAAGTTATCTTCTCACATAATACTTACTAATTAAATATGGAAAAATGATAACTCTAAAGTGGGGGAACCTGATAAGACATCAATTTAATAACCAAGTGACCAAAATTAACATCACTAGTAATAATACATATTGGTATCAATTATCCCCTGATACGATTCACTGAGAAAGAAACAACATCACTTTTGCCAAAAATGTATAACCTCAATCTAATTACAAGAAAATATTAGACAAACCCAAATTGAGTGACTACAAAAGGACCCCTCATTAGGGGAAAAAACTAGTAACACTGGAAAAAGGTGTGTTGATTAGTTCATACTATCATATCAGTGTTAACTTCCTGGTTTCAATAAGTACACTGTGGTTACACAGGATGTTAACATCGGAGGGGGCCAGATGAAGGGTACACACTGCTTTACAACTTCTCTGTAAGTTTCAATTTGTAAAAAGCAAGCTCATCATGGTATGACAGCACTTGAAGAGACTATTTAGAAAAGACAGAGATGAGTACTACGACCCCAGCTTTTGAAAAATAATATGGTTATAGCATTTGACACTGCCTTAGAGATCACCTGATGCTACCACTCATCCAGCAAAGGATTCTTGTTTTTAATCCTCACCTGAGGACTTTTTTTTCATTGCTTTCAGAGAGAGGGGAAGAGAAAGAAACATCAATGTGTGACAGAAGCATCCATCGGCTGCCTCCCATACGCTCCCAGGGTGGGAAGTGTGCCCGGACAAAGGACCGTACTTGTCCAGACCCAGGCTTGCACAAGACCACACCTGGACCGAGAATCGAACCTGCAACCTTTCAGTTACAGGACAACACTCCAACCAAGCCACACCAGCCAGGGTCTAACAAACCCTTTTTATATCATGCCCTTAACATACAGTCATCAACCACTGTCTCAATGATGTCTAGTGAGAGAAAATTTACTATGCCAAAATGCAGCTCACACGCGCCATTATACCACCATTCTAAGTAACACAGTTCTTCCTCATTCTCAGCCAAATCTGCCTCCCTGCCAGACATGTACCTGAGAACGTTATTCTGAGGCACAGGTTTCCAACCCAGGGTTCTCAAACATGAGAATATACTGGGTTGGCCAAAAAGTTCATTTGGTTTTTTCCGTAAGATGGCTCTATAGTAGCGCTTAGTTGTCTTTAACTTCATTCAAAACAATTTTGTTAGACTGTATTGTGACAGCTGTCATATCAGTGTATATTTTTTAAAAACTTATCAAAATTGGTGAATTTTTGTGTAGCCATTTTAATACTGAAGAATGAAGATGGGGGAAAATAAGCAACATTTTTGGCATATTATGCTTATTTCAAGAATGGTAAAAACTCAGAAAAAGATTTGTGCAGTGTATGGAGAAGGTGCTGTGACTGACTGAATGTATCAAAAGCGGTCTGCGAAGTTTCATGCTGGAGATTTCACACTGGACGATGCTCCGCAGTTGGGTAGATGGGCTGAAGCTGTCAGCAATCAAATCGAGACTTTTAGAACAATCAATAACATCTACATTAGAGACTATAATGGCAGGATTTTGAAAATAATTTTAGTATCAAACAAAGGCTAAGTAAATAGAATAATATGTAGTCATTAAAAAATGCAATTATGAACTCTATCTAACAACATAGTTATCTGCTCTAATAAGTGAAAAGATACCAGAACATAAAATTCTGTGGATATTTATTAAGGCATCTTAGGAAAAAAATGAGCACAAACACACACAGACCAGCAAAAAAACAGCAGATGTTTTCAGGTTTGAAGTCATGAGTGATTTTTATTTCCTTTATTACTAAATTATTTGTATATTTAACAAAAGTCAGTAGAAAAAAAACTCTCAAGAAGGGTCCACAGTAAACTACAATAAATCATGAGTCAATGGTAAATTAAGGCCTCAAATAATTCTTTGAATTTAGTGCTCATAAAAAAAAAAAACCCACAAAGAACGAAACATTTCTTCCCCCAAATAAAAGTGCCTCTGAAAAGAAAACTGAAGAGAACCTCACTAGGATGAATGTCTGGAAATACTCCCCGCAGCAGAAGCCATCGGACCGCCGCGTGGCGTCCCGGGCCAGCTTCCGCTGCGGGGGTATTTAGAAGCAATGCCCTAGACACTGACTGTAGGAATCCATCCTGAGCTGCCTCCACAGAGACCCAGAAGTGGTCTCCTGAGGTTTCTCCATCACACAACTGGTTGGCTGATCTGTAAGTACGTGACACTGGCACATAAACACTAGGGTTTTCACACCAACAAGGAAACAACAAACCTTACCTGGGAAGTGCCGAACAGAGGCCTGCCCCACCGTCCCTGTGCAGGAGACAAAGGTACCAGCCTGCTGCATCCTGGAACCCACTGGGAGATGCTGATCGGGTTCCTCTAAAGAAAGAAAAAAAAATAGTCTGTCAAGAATCTGTATCAGATTCAACATGCAGGAGGCAAAGAGCACACACAAGTTTAAAAATCCCAGCAGAACAGGGCACATGGAAGGAGAACATCCAAAGCAGGACCAGGATCAAGCCTCCCCCTGGCTCAAGCAGGGGACATAGGCTCCCTTCTCAGGAGAGGAATAAAATAAGCAGACTTCAGGCATTTGACAACAAAAGTGTCATTTAAATTAGCGTTTGCAATGCCTTTTCAAACTGATTTATCTGTTATTCATAGAATTCTTTTATAGTGAGCAGTGCTGGGATTACCAGCATCCCCAAAATGATAAAGAAACCATGGCTGAAACTTGGGGGTGGGAAAACACACTTGGGCAAGTTGATTTCCAAAACAAAAGGGATTAAATGGCTGAGCTATGACTGTGATTCCGCTTTTCCCTCTGGCATTACTGACCTCAGAAACATCTCTGGGCCAACGTGAAAGGCGTCTTGCGAGGCGGTGACATGGCTCCCACGAGTTCTAGAAAGTGCCACGAGTCCCTAACAAGTACCCAGTGCTGAAACATTGTTTTCTCATCAAAATGCAATGAGTACCAAGGTACGACTATTCTTATGAGCACTTACTATGTGCCAGGCACTTTTCTAGGCATTTATATGAACTCATTTAAATCTCCCAATCACCAGCCAATGACCCAGGTATATTGTTATTGTCCCAATTATATAGACAGAGAAACGGAGGTATGGATAAGTGACTTCCCAAGGCCATATAGTTAACAAACGGCAGGGTTAAGAGGTGAACCCAGGCAGCACAACTCCAAGATCCATGGTAATTTACAGAATGAAAGGACAAAGGGAGTATCGCCAAAGTCCCCTCTAGCTCTAAAACTGCAGGACCTAGTCTTGAACCAACTAAACCACAGCACAGTATGGTGGAAAGAGCCACGTACCAGGAATCAAAAAACACGGGTCTGGGTCTTGGCTCCACTGTTAGTAAGCTACAAGCATTCATTGCTTCCTCTATAAAATTAAGAAAAATCCTTGCTTTTCAGGATTTTAAGAAAAGTCATCAAATGTACCTTACAGTATAATGCAATTCAGTAAGTATTAAGGTGAATCTGAAACTCCATTTCCGTATCACTTGGAAGAAGGGGCAGAAGAGAGGTTAGAATTTCAAACCTAGAGATGCTTTCTAAAGTGTCTCGTAGTTCTGAAACTGTACCAACTGTTTCCAATAGGCCACTCATGGCACTTTGTTTCAAATGAAGAGTCAAGATTAAAAATATTTTATTTCAGCTGAGGTTTGATCTGTTGAGATGGTTTTCAAGTGAGAGACAAGACAGTTACTGGACTTTGTTAACTAATGCTGACAGGTTTACCAGAATCATTCGGTGTCAGATGTTCCTTTCCTAAAAATGTAAATACTGGACAAGATGAAACTTCTGCAGATTTAGGTCCAAAGGAGTGGGGGGGGGGGGGGGAGTAAGAGAAAATTACAAGTAGAAACAATGAAAACTTTTAGAAGATTTTATGAAGAATTTCATCATATTCTTCCCAGGGTCAACAAAATTTTTCTCTGTAATTTTGGCTGTACTTGGTCTTCTGCCAATATGTTAAATCAGTTCTTATTCGAAGAAAAGAGCGATCAGCTTCGTTCTGTCCTTCTCCAACCCTGCAACAACTGTTCTTGTCCAAACCCTTAACTGAAACTGCTGAGGTAGAGCAGGAAGGGTGTTTGAATGCCAAGCCTGCCATGAAGTAGCTCTGTGACCCTGAGCTAGTTTCTCAGTTCTTTGGGCCTCCATTTTCCCTTATGTAAAGTAGGAATAACAAAAGCTAACTCAGCTGCCTGGCTGGTGTAGCTCAGTGGATTGAGCGCAGGCTGCAAACCAAAGGATTGCTGGTTCGATTCCCAGTCAGGGCACATGCCTGGGTTGCAGGCCAAGTCCCCAGTGGGGGACGCATGATAGGCAACCAACACACTGATGTTTCTCTCCCTGTCTTTCTCCTTCCTTTCTCCTCTCTCTAAAAAAATAAATAAATAAGATCTTTTTAAAAAAGCTACCTCACAGGAGTGTTCCAAGGATCATTTGTAAAAGCACTTTGGTAACAGTAAAATACACACACAAAGGCATCGTTATTGTTATTAACAACTGTTACTGAATTATGTAAGTAAACCCATCTTTCCCCAGCAAACAATCTTAGCAGCAAGAACCATTTCCTTAAAATATTATTTTTAACCTGGAATTCCCTTTCTCAAAAGTTCACAGGAGGCTCCATCCACCCCCTTAGTCAAACTCACACAGCCGATCTCCACCAACTGGGCCCCTGCGGACTCACTATAGTTACACGCCCTGCCTCTATTTCCCACTCAGCGGCTCTAGAGCCCGACTCAAATCCTCTGGTTTCAGAGTCATCGCTACCCCACTCCACACGAGCTAATCCCCTGGCAGTCCCTTCCTCTGGGAGGGGGATCTCTTCTTCACCCAAACCACAGGCTCGCTTGCTTCGGGGAGTCTCTCTAGACTTCAGGTTCTGGTTCTGCTGACCCTATTCAGTTTTTTCCTTTCCTCCTCTTACAATATTTCATTTAATAAACATAAATCTGTGGAAGTACTTCTCTCCCTCTTACAGATACTAATACATCCCAGTTAAAATTATTGCTCTAATTTAGGATAATATATATACCATTACTAAGTGGGAGTTTTATTGTCTTTTTGCCTCACCAACACTTCAAAACCAAAATTTTAAGAATAGGTTTCGAGTTATTTCCTATGCATTTTATAAAATGCACGTAATTTTACTTATATTCCAAATCATTCTGACAGCCCTGCTCTTATTTTTACTATACTTTAATGGGGCCACTAACCAATCTGTTTCTGCATGTAGTTTTTAAGATACATAGTATTTACTTTGGCTCACTCATGAGCCGGAAAAGGCTTTACAGGTAGTCAGTTCTCCTATTCCCTACAGTTACATTTTATAAAGTGACCACAAGTAGAGTTAGCAAATACCGAACCACTGCTCCTAGGGGAAATGCAGGGTTAGGTTCCTGCAAGCCTCCATTCACAACATTTTCATCAGCCAATCAATACACAGCCTTGTTTTATGTGTTTCTGCTTAAACATACCTTATTTAATATATATTATTGATTCATTAACATTGAACTCACAGCCATTGGCAAGCACTGTAACTCACTCCTGAACAAAACTTATCTAACATATCAAAACTTATCTAACTTATCTAACATATCAAGACTTATCTAACTTATCAAATTTTCTCCATAATAAACATCACAGCCTTTTGGCACTTTGTATCGTTAGCACTTCCCACTATACTTGGAGGCCATTTTAAACAGGGAAATCACCAAAAAAGCACAAAAATGTGAATAAATACATAAACACATACATACATACCCGTGGCACTAAACAGACCATGAAAAGGATACTTGCTTACAGTCTAAAAGCTGAAACAAAGAACAGAGTATGACCTTGTTTGACCTCAGCAAGAAACATGCATGTTGTAGCTCAAATTTTTCACCCCTTTGCACACACCCACAAATGAGTGCAAAAGCTCCATGAGTATTGATTTTGGAGTGCAAATAAATTTAGCAAGTACCACCCTGGCAGGCATGGCTCAGTTGGTTGGGCTTCATCCCACAAACTGAAAGGTTGCCAGCTCGATTCCAGGTCAGGGCACATGCCTGGGTTGCAGGCTCCCTGCTCCATCCCAGGTTGGGGTGCTTGCAGAAGGCAACCAATCAATGTTCCTCTCCCTCTCTTTCTCCCTCCCTTTCTCTCTCTATAAATTTTTTTAAACTTTTTTTTTTAATTTAGGAAGTACTCCCCATTATCTGTAGGGGATAAATTCCCAACCCCCCGGTGGATGCCTGATACCATTTCACTTAAAGGAAGCACTTTATAGCTTCCCCTTGGAGCATGTGAATTGCCAGCATCAACTACTCTCGTGCCTTGGGGCCATTATCAAGTAAAAAAAGGATTACTTGAACACAAGCACTAAACAGAAAAACAATAACAAACTCTAGTAAAGGGAAAAACTGATTTCCAGAGATGTCATATTATATTGTTTGAAGTTTCCAGTTTTCAACAAAAACGTATGAAACCTGTATTTTTTTTAAAATATGTCCATATACAGGGGGAAAAAATCAACAGAAACTGTCTCTGAGGGAGCCCAGACATCAGACACACTAGACAAAGATTCTGAACCAGCCATTTTAAATAGTTAAGATCTAAAGGAAACCTTATAAAAAAAACTAGAGCAAAGTATGAAAATGATATCTCACCAGATAGAGAATACCAATAAAGAGAGAAATTAAAAATAAAAATTATCCACTTGAAAAGAACAATTAAAAAAACAAACATTTCACTAGAGGGGTGCACAGCAGACTTGAGCAGAGGAATTGGAGCTTTGAAGACACGTCAACTGAGATCATCCCGCCTGAATCACAGAAAGAAGAATAATAAAGACAATTTAACAGAGCCTCACAGACCTAAACAATACCACCAAACATACCAACATCTACATAATGGGAGTCCCAGAAGGAGAGGAGAGAAATAAAGGCACAGAAAAAAGTATTTGATCTATAATAGTGACAACAATAAAAAATGCTTTAAAAATAAAAAATATTATAAAATAAAATATTTAAAGAAATACTGACCGAAAACGTCCAGCTTTGATTTTAAAAACCAGTTTATAAATCCAAGAAGCTCAACTAACTCCAAGTAAAATAGACTCAAGAGATCCACAAATAGACATATCATAATCAAGCTGCTGAAAGACAATAACAAAGATAAGATTTTGAAAGTAGCAAGAGAAGTGATTCACCATTTACAAGAGCTCTTGGATAACATTAAGAGCTCATTTCTCCTCAGAAACCATGGAGGCCAAAAGGCAGTGGGATGAAATATTCAAAATGCTGGAGGAAAAAAAGATGATCAAACAAAAATACTATATCTAGCAAAACTATCATTCAAAAGCAAAGGAAAACAGAACTTTCCAGATACAAACTGAGGGAATCTGTCAATAACAGATTTCTGGTCAACAACAAATACTAAAGAGAGACCTTCAGGCTAAAACTAGACCTTTGACACTACAATAATGTAAATCCACATGAAGTAAAGTGCACTGGTAAGGGTATCTATTTAAACAAATTAAAGATACAGTATAAATGTATTTTTTGCTTGTAACTACTTTTACTTTTTAAAAGACAACTGAATAAAACAAGAATTATAAATCTATGTGGATGGGGACAAAATCTATGAAGATGTACTTTGAATGACAATATTGGCACAAAGGAGGGGGAAAGAGTGGAGCTGTATATAATCAAGGGTTTTATATACTGCTATTGAAATCAAGATAGCAACAATCTACACTAGACTGTTATGAATCAACATGTTAATTACACTCCCTAGAGCAAACACTAAGAAAATAATTAAAAAATAGCAAAACGTTATACAATATACAAAAATTAACTCAAAATGGGTCAAAGATCTAAATTTAAGACCTAGAACAAGGAAACTTATAGAAGAAAACATACAGGAAAGCCTCATGACATTGAATTTGACAATGATTTCTTGGATATAACACTAAAAGCACAGGCAACAAAGTTAAAAATGGTTAATGCTCTGACCAGTGTGGCTCATTTGGCTGGGCATCACTCCACAAAGCGAAGGGTCACTGGTTCGATTTACAATCAGGGCACAGGCCTGGGCTACAGGTTCTGTCCCTGGGCAGGGTGCATATAAGAGGCAACCAGTAATGTTTCTCTCTCACATCGATGTTTTCCTCCCTCTCTTTTTCCCTCCCTTCCCCTTGGCATATAAAATATGTGCAACATCATTAATCGTGAGAGAAACGCAAATCAAAACTACAATGAGATACCACCTCACACCCACTGAGATGGCCACTATGAAAAGCAATGAACAAGCGTTGGTAAAGATGCAGAAAACCAGAACTGTTTTGCTAGTAGGAATGTAAAATGGTTCAGCTGCTGTTGAGAATGGAATGGTAATTCCTCAAAAAATGAAACATACACTCCAATAATTCCACTTCTTCGTTTATACCCAAAAGAAATGAAAACGGACTCAAACAGTATTATACAACCTTATGTTCAACAAAGCACTATTTCACGGTAGTCAAAAAGTAGACTAACCTAAGTGTCTTCTGACAGATGAATGGACAAACTAATGTGATATATATACACAGTGGGATATTATTCAGCCTTAAAAAGGAAAGACATCCTGACACATGCTGCACCTGGACAAACCTGGAAGATGTGTGCTAAGTGAAATAAGCCAGTCACGAAAGGACAAAGACAGTGATTCCACTTACATGAGTTATCTAGAGTAGTCAAAATCTTAAAGACAAACAGGAGAATGGTGGTTACCCCAGGCTGAGCACAGGGAGTCATGGGGATTTACAGAGTTTCAGTTTTGTAAGACGTAAAAAGTTCTGGGGATGATGGTGGTAATACCAGCACAACAATGTGTATGCACTGAATACCACTCAACTATATCCTTGAAAATGGGCCCTGGCCGGTGTGGCTCAGCTGGTTGGAGCATCGCCCCATAAAACGAAAGGTTATGGGGTTGGTTCCCAGCCAGGGCACATGCCTAGGTTTTGGTTCCGTTCCCAGTCAGGGCCTGTGCAAGAGGCAACTGATCAATGTTTCTGTCTCACATCAATGTCTCTCTCCCTCCCTGCCCCTCTCTCTAAAACCAATGAGCATGTCCTAGGGTGAGCATAAAAAAATAAAATAAAAAATGGTCAAAATGGTAAATTTTATGACATGTGTATTTGACTAAAAATTTCTTTTAAAGTACAGAGTACCTTTCTGCAATTTTCAGTACTGTCAAAGAAAAGTACAAATGATCACTAATGCCCAGGGCAGCTCATAAAACTATAATAAGCAAGGCACGCCCCACTGCTCAAATGTCCAGTTCCCCTGCTGGAGCTACTCAGCAACAGCAGTGTTTTAGTTCCTTGCTCCTTCCCAAACCCATCACCAGAGAGGGGAAAAGCACTGGCCAGTAAGTCTGAAAGAAGAAAAAGTAAAGGAAGACTAATGAGAATGTTTCAGGAATACTGTCTGTCTGTGGTTCAATTTTCTCATCAGTAAAATGGGAAAAATAACAGTGCTTACCTTTCAAAGGGCTGTTGTAAGGACTAAGTTCACACATATAAAGGATTTAAGAGTGCTTAGCGCGTGGTAAGTGCCCTATAAATGTTAGCTGTCAACATTATTGCCAGGAAATCTCAACATCTGCTTCAACTACATCCTTTATCTCAGTGCTCTCTCTCTCCCCTCCTCCCTCTCTCCTTCCCCTGAACACCAACTCTCCAGCTACAAAAAAAATAATAAAATAAAATTAAAACTTCTAGTTGGATATTCTCAATAGACAGTGCTATTAATTCAGTCATCAACAGCTGACCTGGGACTCACTGTTAAGACTCCTCCTTCTGCCCTGGCCAGGTGGCTGGGTTGGTCGGAGCATCACCCGGTACACCAAAAGGCTGTGGGTTCTATCCCAGTCAGGGCGCACACCTAGGCTGTGGGACCCCAGTGAGTGTGCACACAGGAGATGGCAGACTGATGTTTCTCTCACACATCAACGTCTCTCTGTCTCAAGTCAACGAACATATCCTCAGGTGAGGATTAAAAAACAAACAAAAAAAACTCCTCCTCCCTCACCCTCAACATCTAACCTCTCACCAAGCTCTCCAGGCTGTCTTTCCTCCTGAAACCATCCCTTCCTCTTTAACCACACTGCTCCTCCCCTCTTAATGTAGCTTTCACCGCTTCTTCCAGGATTACTTAAGTAGCTCCTTCCTGGCCTTGGGCTCTCTAATCTCAGCTCTCTCTGATCCATTCACAACCACTACAGGGATCTATTAAGACAAAAATCTAAAAGTGGGTATCTGTTTACTATGTTGATTTTAGAACTTTTTTAACACTTTCAAAATAAATTTTTTAAACTTCAACTTAAAAATTAGAGAAGAAACAAAAGTGTGCCCTGAATAGTGGTGGTTTTGGAGGCGAGAACAACAGGAGGAAAAAAAATGCAGAAGGGTAGGAAGAAATCTGGGGGAATGACGGGTATGTTCATTATTTTTATCATACCGATGGCTTTTCAGAAGCATACCAGTGTCAAAACTTGTCAAATTGTAACATTAAATAAATACAAATTATTGTATGTCAATTATTCCTCAATTTAAAAAATTTACACCACAATAAATTCAAAAAGAATGAAAGATTGAAATGTAAGTCATGATACCATAAAAGTCCTAGAAAAAAACATAGGTAGTAAAATTTCAGATACCCCATGTAGCAGTATTTTTGCCGATATATCTCCTAAGGCAAGGGAAATAAAGGAAAAATATTTTAAATGGGACTATATCAAATTGAAAAGCTTCTGCGCAGCTAAAGAAAACATCAGCAAAATGAAA